CATGTGATACCATCATATGCTGAGAGCAGCTGCCATGTCCACTTCCTCTACTGAATGACTTTCTAGGGGAGAGACATTCTTATTGGAACCTTTTCAGGGGGAACATTATGAGTAGCTGATTTGCCTGTGATGGGTAAAAAATTCCCTAAAGATGGTCAGCTGCGCACAGAGGGTCTACAGACATGAAAATGCACTACCTTAAATATGAGAATGTCTTAACTAAAGAGACTTAGGAGAGTAATTTAGCAATCTGAAGTGGAAATAATTTTGACATTGGTTAAGGTTTGCTATAGGGTTAATTGGATGGCTTTTGTTGTGTTGTTTAGAGTAATAGCTCTGTCCCTGGCTATTTACGTGTGCAGTTGTCCCTTGGTATCCTGGGGTTGAAGGACTGGTTCTAAGATCCTCCACAGATATAAAAATCTGTGGATGCTAAAGTCCATATAACCTACACACATCCTCCCATATACTTTAAATCATCTCTAGATTACTTATAATACCTAATACAACATAAATGCCATGTAAATAGTTATTATATTATTATATTATATTATTATATTATATTATATTTATTATATTTATTATATTTATTATATTTATTATATTTATTATATTTATTATATTTATTATATTGGAAAGAATGACAAGAAAAAAGTCTGTTCGTGTTCAGTACAGACACAACCATCCTAGGCCTAACTACATGTCAGCAACAATATAACTTAAAAAAAATTTTTTTCAAATATTTTCCATCTGAGGTTGGTTGAGTCCACAGATGCAGAACCCGTGGATGTACAGGGCCAACTCCGTGCATTTACTCTATGCATTTATGCATTCCTTTGGCCTTACAAACATTATGTATTAAACATAAAGATGTTTGCTCGATGAGGTCATGACAGTAACTCCTTTCCCTGTGGGTTGGAAATGCACAGAAGCAATTCCCCACCCTGCGCCCACTGGCCCTCCACCCCACTCGGATTGGCAGTGCACTGCTTAGCATGTTATCAGTGACTCACCCTTGAGGACTCTAGGATTCTGCATCTGGGGCTTATGGACCTTCAGGGCATCTGTGAACCAACTCTCTGAAATGATGAGCACAGGTGTCTCTGTATGTATGTCTCTCCACCCCCCTCGCCCCGGAGTAAGTTCATAAAGCTTTTATCAAAATGAGGTGACCCCAACAAAGGTTAAGAATAGCTTTGCCCTCTCCATTTAACTCCGGCTCAGCGATACAGTTACTGACAGAGGAGAACACTGGCTTAAAGCAAAGGCTGGGCATTTATTGACTGGCTGGAATTGTAGAGTTTCTTAAAGTCAGCTAATAGTGAGCGGCTGGCTAGGGAAGGGGTGGAAATTACAGTGAATATGCCCTGCTTAAAAGCTTTCAAATTAAAACAAAGCTGAACAGGATAGGAAGTGTGCTCACCTTAGCAGGGGTAGGTTTTGCTGTAAGAAGAAAAAAAAAGAGGCCTCCTTGCTGGATATGTGATAAGTTAGGCACCTTCACTAACACACACAGTAGGTGCTTCATGTAAGTTCCCAAGGTACATCTTCCCCTGCCCCCATATGCCTGGCCTCCAGGTTTGGAGTAAAGTTGGCTGTTGGCCTTCTTCCCAGAACACAATGGAGAGATGTCTTTCTGGGCCTTTCTGAGGCACCGTGAATTGCACACCTGCCCAGCTCCAGGGGCCCTTTCGCACAGACTGCATTCTGAGTGGTGCCCCTGAGCTGTGCAACTTGGTGACCTTATTCTTCTTTCTCTTTCTTTTTTTTCTTCTTTTTAATCTCTTCACTGTTGATTGTATTTTGCCGGCATCAGATCCAACCCCCTTATACTTGTCACCACATCTGTGGCTGCCACTGCTGCTTCCAGCACAGCCTCATATGTTTTCATTTATCACTCCTGACTCCCGTCACTCTTCTCACTCTTTTAGCTTTTGTTAGAAAAGGTCTGGCCAGCCCCCAGAAGGATGCATTTGCCCGTGAGGAGTAACAGTGCTAACCTCATAGCGTTGGGGTCATGCTTTCCATAAGGAAACTTCCAGCTTTATTGAGGGGCTCCCAGTTCATTGTCACATAAGTTGTATGTGTGTTTGTATGGGGGAAGGGGTATTTCTTCCTCTGTTTTGTTTTGTGCTGGTCATGTTGCTTTTCAGCTAATTCTGGGTCAGGGATCTCAGCCTTGGTTGCACATGAGAATCATCTAGGGAGCTTCTAAAATTCCTGATGCCATGCGACTCTCTGGAACAATTAAATCAGCGCATCTGGAATGGGACCGATTCATTATTTTTTGCCGTTTCCTAGGTGATGGATGCCAATGCGCCCCAAAGGGACAGCCATTCATCTAGGCTACAGTCCTAAGGTGCTGGGACGATGAATTCCAAGCCCGGGGGCTCGGTTTTATACTTAAAAACAACAAAGCCGCCTGCCTGGCCCAGCAGTTGAGTGTCGGCCTAGGATCCAGGCGATCAGGGTTCAATTCGCAGGCTCAGCCGATCAATGACTCTCTCATCATTGCTGTTTCTCTCTCTCTCTCTCTCCTTCTTCTTTCCTCTCTCTGAAATCAATAAAGATATATTTAAAACAAAACAAAAACAAAAAAACAACAAAGCTTCCTCACCAGCCAGTAGATGTTCGTCTTAAACATACTCCATTAAAAAGAAATCAAATAAATAAAACATGGCCAACTCTTTTTGCTTTGCCCATGCCTTGTAGGGAAACCTAAATGGTTAAATTAATTTTCACAAATGGATCCAAATCTAACCATTGCAGAAAAAAAAATACATATTCATTGTTGCTTTAGTCCCAAATTTAACGCAAGGTTCAGAGAGCACTTAGGTCTGTATTTTTAGCTAAGCATAGAGCTCTTTAGCTCTGGGAGACAGTGAACATTTCAAAATAGTTTGTTACCTAAAAATACACTTCCTGAAATGAACTTGAGGCCTGGGAGAGATGAATGGGTTTATTTTTTTCTTCTATATTTAATGTTACCACAAGAAAGCAAATCTTGAATTTATACTTGTTTATATTTTTAGAGGACCCAGGAAACAGGTGCTGTGCCCAAGGGACAAAAAGGGTTGAGTGGCAAAGTGTCAATGACAGAAATCTGAAATTCATGGCCAGGTATCGACCGTGGGAGGGCATTGAAACTGTTTCTCTGGCTTTAGGCAGGAGCACACTTAACACGGGAAGGAGATGAGGAGGATCTCTGGGAGAAGCACACGTCCCAACTTCTTTAACGGCCAAGGACTAGTCTAGTGTGACACGTGGTCTAGGTGCTTGATCTTCCTTAATGTCTTGAAGTTCAGGTTTGGTGACCAAATGCTTTATAGCGTTATAGCCTTGCCTCATCTCACTCTCCAGATGCATGCCTTTAATCACCGTCATTGCCAATAGAAATGGATCTCTTGCATTTAAATGATGCGGAGGGGGGTGTCCTATTTGTTTGTTGCCTCTCAGCGTGCAATATGTGAGCTGCAAAGAACAGTCTGTCTTCAATATGTGATTGGTAGGTGTGAATGAATATTGCACTTATAATCATGTTCCCCCCCTAATATGAGGGAAGTTCTATATTCTTTCCCACTTGGTATGAAAGACCAAATGCAAATTCTCATATTCATTCCTTTATACATTCATCTCTTCACTCATTTATGCAATAAGTATTTTTGGATATGTTCTTCTTTGTGACAGGCCCTCTTCTTGGCAGAGTATATAACCGTGGCAGATAGAGTCTCAGAGAGCTTGCATTTTGGTGGCTAGATTATGAGCAGACAGATGATCAAGTTGGATTGTGCAGAAGATAAAACAGAGCCTGGTCATAGTCCCTTGCAGGCTGCTTTAGGATGAAGAGCTCTCATTCAACCAGAGACTGGAAAGGTGACAAAAAGCCAGACAAGGGAAAGAGCAACAGAAAGGCCTGAGGACTGAAGGAACTTGGCTTCTTGCAGGAATAGCCCATGCGTCCTAAAAGCTAATGGGCAAGATGTAAGAGGGCCGGTGGTGGTGGTGGTGGTGGTGAGGGCTGAAGTCCGAGAGGTAGCAGGCAGCTGGCCCTTGAGGTGGAACTCAGCCTTCATTCGCCTTTGGGACTCCAGGACGTGGACAGTGTTTGGGATTGCTTCTAGGAGTCACTGTGTCTGTGTTGATCGATCAACTGATTTCCCTCAAGGCAACAGAGAGAAGTCAGAGCCTTGCAAGAGGCCCCATAGCTCTTCTGCGTGCAGGTCAGGAACAACATGGCCAAGTCCTGCCTCACCTACAGTGTCTCCTCTTGAGTGGCCAACTCCCTTTTGGACTTCACAACTGTGCTCCCTTGTGACCTCTCTGCCCATCTGGGTGGTGACTCCTGTGTGGCTTCCACATCCTGTGTCTTTCTCTCTATTTTGGGTTATCCTACCCTCATCTGTTTCCTTGACTACTCACCCAGCTAAACTATAATTTCCCTATGGGGCCTTTTCATTGTGCTCCCAGCACCCAGAACAATGCAGTGGCCCAATCTAATCTATGTTTCTTGACGGAATGATAAGGTTTGTGTAGAGTGTCTTATGAAATCATGACAGAAGCAAGAAGTTCCTCAAGCTTCCCCCACCCTGCAGTGGCTTTCCTTGCAGATTGCGTAAGTGCAGGGAATGCTCATCTGATGAGAAGGCATTATTTCGCCTTTGTATTTCTTCTTCTGATGTCAGGTTCATTTGAAATCACATAACATCACCCAGCCAGGCTTGGCTCAGCAGTTGAGCATTGACCTAGGATCCAGGCGATCGGGGTTCGATTCTTGGTCAGGGCACATGCCCGGGCTGCGAGCTAAGCAGCCGATCAGTGACTCTCTCATCATTGATGTTTCTCTCTTTCTCTCCCTCTCCTTTCCTCTCTCTGAAATCAATAAAGATATATTAAAAAAAAAGAAGAAAAAAGAAGAAATCACATAACATCACCAGGAGCTCATTGGCCGGCTGCCTGGCTGTTAGACAATCACTCAGTGTATGTTTCTTTTCCGTCCACAGTTAATAATGACATGATGATCACCGACAACAATGGGGCACTCAAGTTTTCACAATTGTGTAAATTCTGTGATGTGAGATCTTCCACCTGCGACAACCAGAAATCCTGCAGGAGCAACTGCAGCATCACATCCATCTGTGAGAAGCCCAACGAAGTCTGTGTGGCTGTCTGGTAAGGTTGCCTTTGAAAAAAAATCTTTCTTTCTCCCCCTTTTATAGTAAAGAATGCATGCTCGTGCTACGTAGAGCGTCTTCACACCCTAAGCATAGACACCATCCCTTTTCCCTTCCTCTTAGACCATCTCTCTTTTAATTGTTAAATGTGCTTTCCAGAGATACTCTGTACATCTTCAATTATACACACGCATGTGCGTGTGCGCTTATCTATGTGTGTGACAGTATACAAGATGACCTTAAATATTTGTAATAAATCTGGAGACACTTGTATGAAGGAGAAGCATATGACACTTACTAGTCATTTAATGACACCCCCTGGGTACCCCACAGTGACACCAGGAGCTTTGTTCTCCTGAGGCAATCTCACTCTCATTTTGTGGAAAGAGAGAAGATGAAAGATGGGCTGTTGGAAGAGGAAAGCATTTGTCAAAAAAGGGGAATGATTCCGGAACCAGAAAACTACCCAGTCCTTAGTCAGAGCCTTGGCCATGTCTCTCACACCACCACTGGGCTACACACTACTTTTTTCTCTTGCGTCAGAACTGTGTGTTTCTCATAGACCAGATTCCCTCCTTTCTCTCTCTCTTTCATTTCCCCACCTCAACACACACACAGGGGGTGCTCATAAATTAGCTGATTAATTCTCAGTTATAAATTTGAGTGTGAGCAAGAGATAAAAGAAAAATAGAGATCATCAAGAGAGTCCCCATTTTATAAAAATATATAAATTCATTAATGATATGGAACATTTTACAGACATATCCTGATGTTTTGAATTTAATTTACTTGAATTTGATTTTTTTTTTAAAGTTACCTATGTGTCTTCTGGCCAGTTGCAAATGAGAAGGTAAACCCAAATACCTTCGCTGCCTTTTTGGGAATGAGTCTTTTGGACTTTCTCCAAACCACATATAGTTTGCCTTGATGGTAGATCTAAAAACCTTGCAAATTTCTGCACATACCAGGGGATGAACTCGTTTCTTAAGAGCTAAAGGAATGTTAACAGCACCGACCTGTCAGGCGAGCCTTCTGTACCTGCCAGCTCCATTCATGTCCAGTTCTGAGAAATGTTTTTGAAAGACGGTGTCGAGAAGAAAGAGACCAGCGTGATTTGAGGTTTAGAAAGTCTGCCATCCGAGGAATGGCTGAGGCAATTAGAATGCTTCCAGGAAAGAAAGGACGGGCCTTCTCGAGAGATACCGAAGGACATGATATCTCTTGAGACATCTCAAGTGGAAAGCATAGTGAACATTTTCACACGTGTAAAAGTTTTCACAATCGTGGTTTCCTAACAGCAGAACAGACTTCCTCCTTTGGGAGAGTCAGCTAAAGTTCAGGAGAGGCTGGGTGACTGGTGAGTCTAGTGCAGGGAAGGAGGAGACACCTGCCTGGATGACCCCAAGGCTTCCTTCACTCCTCTGCTCCACGGGTCACCTGTACCTAGACATGCACTGCGCTGTGAGCTCACTTCTACTAATGAAAAAAAAGGGCTCTTTTAATTAAGATATTTTCCCCTGACTCACAGTATAAGTCCAAATGATTGATTGTGAACCAAATCGCTGGAATAGAGGCTTTGCTTGTCTCAGAAAATGTAAACGTGCAGGGGGAGAGGAAGCTCCCCGTTTCTGCGTGGCCCAGCTATGAAGAGTAAATGCTATACGTGAACCTTATTTTTACCTGTCTTGGTAAATACAGATACTCCCGTGGAGTGGGAGTGCTGTGGGGAGCAAGGGATGTGCAGTGGGTGCTGCCCCTCCTCCTGGGCAGCCAGCACCCTAGAACTGATTGAGGCAGGGGTCCAAATGCCTGGCCACTTCATCTCAATTTGGGTCAGTTCTGACAGGCCGTCCCAGCTTTACGGCTCCTGAGGGGTCCGCTGGTTCAGATCCTCCAATGTGCAGCTCCCTTGAGTCACTTACAGGTGCCTGTCCAAAAACTCCTGCACAGAAACCTCTTCGCCTCAATATCTGTTTCCAGGGAACCCAAACCAGGAAAGGAGGCTATTTTAGAAACAGCCACATGTGGAAACTGAAAGCCTCTACCACAGTGCTACATGCATTCTAAGGCCTTTATCAGTTTTAATGTTTTCATTCATTCATTCATTCATTTAACTAATATCAGCCGTGCACCCATTTCATGTAAAATGTTCAAGTTCTGTCCAAGAATAGAAATATATTGGAACCAAAATTAATTTCATGAATGTGGTTCTTTTTTTCAGTGGCTATTGACAAACGTTTCAGTTGCTCAGAGCAAAAGTTGCAGGACAAAGAAGTCTGTATTTTTTCATTGTGTTTTCCCTTCCTGTGCTCCGCTGCATCCAAAGATATTTTGCAAAGTGAGCTCTGCTGTCAGGGAGAACATTGTTGCAGGACTGAGTGGAGAAAGCGGCTAAGGACTTTACCCAGACTCAAGTATGGCAGTTGAGTTTCCTTTCTGCTATTTTAGTTCTTCAGGCAGCTAGGAGGTGGAAAGCAAGAGGCTCTGAAAGAGATGCCCCGTCGTGGCAGAGCAGCTGTACTCACAACTCCTTCCTTGTCTCATTCCTTGGCCTCCAGAAGCTTCACAACAAAGAGACACCGCGCTTTTCCCTGGGAGCATAGAGGACCCAATATGCCTTCCTATAATACTCTGCACATGTGCACGCATGTTTGTAACACACACACGAACACACACACAGGCACACTGCTTTGGGGGCAGGGAGGTGCTCTTGTTTCAAGACCACCATTTCTGCTAAGACTTCCCAGTAGCTTTGGGGTTAAGGGTGGGTAGATTTTTCAATAGACATCATTTGTTGTGTGACGGAGCCAAGTCAAGTTTCACTGAGCTCCCCTGCCACCACCCTGGAGGAAGGATTCCGATCGGTGCGCCTCCTCTGACAGTAGGGACCTGCGTAGCAAGGCCTTGCCCTCTTGCTCCTGCTGGAGCGTTAGTTCGGGAACCATTGATGTGTTTCACAAAGTGGCATGCCTGTGTCCCCTGGAGTCTCCTCCAGGCAGCATCGATGTCACAGACATGACTCCCTTCCTTATCGGGCTGTTCCGGCCTGAGCCTCATTCCTACTGTTCTCAACCCCTTGTCGATACAATGTCCTTTAGTGACCTTGAATTAAGCACTAAGCAGGGGGATTGGTCAAGTTGCTCTTTCCCTGTGGGTATAGGCCCACCTCTTTTCCAGGTGAAAGTTATATCTTAGCTGCTTCTTGTCTCCAGCCAGCCTCCCATTTTCCTTGCTGTGAGCAGTGAGCTTGTGTGTGTTTTTGAGGGTGAGGGGGTTGATTGGTGAATGTGCACTAGTGTGTGTTGGCACATGTGCACTCATATGCACACTCAGAATCCTTCCCAGGCAGGATTACACATGCAAAACTGGACCTATCATGTCATTTAAGGCTTGATTTCCCCTCCAAATGTAGAGGCTACCATTCAAGACAACAGCAATTTTGCACCTGCAAAGGGCAGAGATGGGAGGAAGGATGTTAGACCAACCTTGGCATTGGACAGTCATCCAAGATGGCAGGTTTCTCGGGAGGCAGCGAGAAGCAGGCAGAGAGCAATGCACTTTCTAAGGATACCAAAGGTTTATTTTGGCTTCTGCAATTACAATAGCAGGTATTAATCATGTCATTTTTAGATGCAATGTACTCGTTGAGCCAATTGAGCATTTCATAGGGTCCAAGCAAACTGCGAGAGATTCGCTGAGCCTTTACTGAGTTAGGCTCCAAATATGTGATGTGGAGGAATACAAAATGTTGATGTCATTAGTTTATGACAGCGTAAAATGTTTCACTGGACTGTAAATGAAGAACACCTTGCAGGTCTTTCCCATGGGTTTGACTTTTCCTCCCCTCTTCTGTTCCTTCCTGTAATTCTGGAAACTGCAGATCTTTATCTAAGAAGCATCTTCCATTTTCTCAGCACAGCCAGCTGCTGACAGGGAACATGTCTTCACTCACAGTGCCCTGGGGCCCAGCAAACAACAAAAGAGGAACCACAACTACTTTCCCAGACATACTCTTTGAGAACAAGTTAGCCAGACAGGGCCCTGGTTCTGCCAAACAATCCAGGCATGCCCTGTGAGCCTGGCGGTACTCAGGATGGAAGGTTTAAAATCATCCTGGGGCCCGGCCTGTGTGGCTCAGCGGCTGAGCGTAGGCCTATGAACCAGGAGGTCACTGTTGGATCCCTGGTCAGGGCACATGCCCTGGTTGTGGGCTCAGTCCCCAGTAGGGGGCATACAGGAGGCAGCTGATCAATGATTCTCTCATTGATATTTCTCTCTCTCCCTCTCCCTGTCTCTTTCTGAAATTTAAAAAAAAAAAAATCACCCTAGGGACCCAGCATTCTTGTTTTCCATGCCCTCCCCTGTAACGACTGTCTTAAGACAGTGGGTAAAATTCTCTGACAGTGTGGCCCCCAAGGTAAGCCCTCATGTTTGTAATCATGAGTGGGCTCGGAGACTAAACAAAGGACAAACGCTCCCCCGGCAGAGAAAGCACAGGGACCGGGGGACGGCCTGTTCGTGCTCAGAGCGGGAAGCAGCTGCCCTTCTGGGAGAGAGCTTCGGGAGGGACATGCACCCCGGATTGCTTTGCACCCAGAGGCCGTTCTCATCTGTTCTCTCTCTCTCTCTGCCCGTCTCCCCGGCGCCACCCTGGGCCTCCCACTCCAGGAGGAAGAACGACGAGAACATAACCCTGGAGACCGTGTGCCACGACCCCGCGCTCGTCTACCACGGGTTCGTTCTCGAGGACGCCGCCTCCCCGCAGTGTGTGATGAAGGAGAGGAAAGTGGACGGCGAGACCTTCTTCATGTGCTCCTGCAGCAGTGACGAGTGCAATGACCACATCATCTTCTCAGAAGGTGCGTGTCCCCCCCCGACGGCCCGGAGCCTGGCTTCCTCCGCGCTGATTTCTTGGGGGGCTGGTCTGGGGCCTCAGAGCGCAGTTCCTCTTCCTGCGGCTGAGCTGGGAGTGAGCCTGCGGTGGGAAGGGGTGCTGGTGGGGTGCAGCGTCGGCTGTTTGTCATCAAACCTGACTCATCGGGCCACCTTCGTACTTGTCTTTGACCTTCCCCTAGAGCAGTGGTTCTCAGAGTGCAGCATGACCTGAGCATTGGTTAGAAATGCAGATTCTGGGGCCCTACCCCAGACCCGCTGAATCAGAAACTCTGGGTGCTGGGCCCAGCAGTCTGTGTTTTAACAAACCTTCCAAGTGATTCTGATCCAGCTAAAATTTGAGAACCGCTGGTCTAGATTGGAGGAGGCTCTTTGATATAGGAGGGGACTTGCTTTGAATGGGCTCACGTGGTTTTGTGTACATACTCCTAGGATTTGTCTGAAGTGTAGTTATCATTGGTCTCATTCGAGAGAACTGAAATACAGGGGGAAAATAAAGAGCCAAGGTTTACCCATGGGGGCAGGGAAAGACAATTAGATACCAGCCTTGATCTTTGAAGTTCAGCATTCACTTGACATGAAAGAAGGGTGCACACTATTCCCTCAATTAAAAAAAATACAGACTATTCAATGATTTTTAATTACAAGAGCAGTATGTGTTCCTTATTACAAATTCAAACAACCCAACAATATGCAAAATTTTAAAATTAAAAGTACATTAACTTCATCCCCTCATTCCCAGCTCAACACATAATCAATACTGAGAGTTCATGGGATGCACACATTTCTCTGTCATTATTCATATAATTGCTGCATCCCTCCTCTCTGTCTTACTCCCTCCTCCCTTCCCTGCCTTCCTCCATCCATGCATCTGTCCTTCTGTCCATCCATCTATCCATCCCATCCACTCACCCATCTTTCAGTGCAAATAGTTGATCAGACTCTATTATTGGGCAACATTTTTTTTAGCCAACTCCTTTTACTTCCTCTAAGGAAGATAATACATACAGATACACTGCACACCTTTCGGTTGTCTAGAATTCCATAATATGGATGATCTTCTCTGACGGACTCAGTCGTTTCCATTGGGATCGCAGCTAAGCCATTTATAAGCTGTTTGTCTTTGCGTGTACTAACTCACCTTAGTTTTCCCCTCTGAGAAATTCAAATAGAAGTAGTGTTCATTTTCAATAGGATTTTTGTGAAGATAAGTGAGATTATTCATGTAGGGAACTTAGGATAGTACCTGGCACAGGGCAAGTATTCAGTACATTTTGGCTGTTACTATTGTTCCCCTGGATTCAGTTGTCTTATATTTGGATTGAGCCAGGTGAGTGAGGAGCTTTATACCAGCATCATGTTATAGTCTCTTCCTTCTGGAAAATCCCTTCGGTTGAGTTGTGCTTGGTGCCATCCATCGTAAGCAGCATTCCTGTGAATCTGAGAGGTGTTCTCACTGTCAAGAACGCTGTCGAGGAAACAGTGCATTGTATCGCTCTCTCCTGAGGAGGCCAGGAGAAACCTGTCCGGCTCCCTGCCTCAGAAAGATTATCCCCTCCTGTTTGCTTCTGAACTTCAGGACACTTTGAAGCATACAGAGCAGGGGCCAGCAAACTTCTTGGATGGAGGACCAGGTAGTAAACGTTTTTGGCTTTGCAGGCCATGGAGTGTCTGCTGCAGCTACTCAGCTCTGCCGTTGAGGTGGCCAGAGACAGTATGTAAACAATTGGTCGCGGCTGTGCTCCCATAAATCTTCACTTACAAAACCAGGCTTCAGGCCAACCCCTGTTGTAGATGGTCATGTGTTGTTGTTTTTTAATTTCTCCCCTTGATCCTAACTACCAGAAAAACTTAGAGTCCATTCTAAGTCATGCTTCTAGCAAGTTTGTGAGCACACATTTTATATACTGTTATTGGCTCAGCCTGCCAGTTTTCCTTCATTTATCTTCCATTTGCATTGATTCTAGCTCTTTCTACCTTCCTTTACTATTGTCTACCTGTAGGTCACATGAGATTTTTCTTTTTTCACAGCATAGAACTGTGAGTAACTTCAATTGTATCTATAGGGTGTCCCTCCAAATATATATACACTTTAACAGCTGATAGCTCAATTGATGTTTCTTTCTTTTCAGACTGAACCAGTGGAATGAACCATTAATTATTCAAAGTGTGTATACAATTTTGGGGGGACAGCCTGTATTTAACTTAGAAACCAGGACTCTAGAAACCACTCTGACTCAAAGTTCAACCGATGTGGTTAAATAGAGAAGCAGACCATCAGATGGAGGCCGTCACCCGCGTGTGTTCATTGCTGACCTGTCGGCTGTGTGCAGACTTTCACAGTTCCTGTGCTCTCTAACCGGAGAAGTCGAGGGAAGGGAGACAAGGACTTCTAGTAGCCACAGAGTTTTCATTCCTTCCTCTCTCATTGTTGTAGAATTTCTTTTAAATGAAAACAGCCTCTTTGGTTTGCAAGCCTAACTCTGGCAGGAAGACAAATGATTTTTTTACAGTATCAGACACGCGGTTTCCTGTCTGTGTTTAACTTGCTAGCAGAGCATCTCAGCCAGCTGGTTCCCCCTGGACCTACTGTGACCTTAATAACGTTGCCTCCTGCCATCCAGCATGCCCACTCTGTGTATTGATCACATGCCCGGTGCACTTGATTGACTCATACTGGTTTCTGAGTCAGGGAAGAGCTGGAGGTGCTGCCCCTTTTCCCTCAAATCTCATTTTGCGTTTGTTTCACTCCAGGACCAGGGAGCTGGCTGCTTGAGTAACTCCTGGTTCTCGTGTCTAAGAAACTAGAAGCATAAGTGGTGTTTTGGCAGGTCCAGGGGTTCTGGGTGTGTTGCCTTGGAGCCTTGCACTCCATACTCAAAATAGCTGTCTCGCCAGCTGTGCATTTTTGTTTCGAGAGAAACAAACCAGATTTACTTTCTGGTCTAAATGCAGAAGAAGAAAAAATGAGTGTGGAAATATGGTTGTGAAAAGTTGTTAGCAGAGGGAGAAAATTATGGATTAAAGTCAGTAGTCTCATTTCTGGGAAAGAAATCCGTTTTTTGGTGGGGGGGATGACTCATGACGAGGGATCCTTTAGTGTGAATGAGTTTGGTTAGGAAGCCTCCACTGAATCCGTGAATTTGGCCCCCAGTCTGGCCAAGAAAATAATGAAGGTTGTATGTGCCAGAGGTCACTGTGACTCAGTCAAGCGAAGCTTAGAGAATGTATTTGTAGCGACTTCAGGCAAATAAGTGGCTTTTGTAGATTTTTTTTTTCCTAAGCAGCAGAGTAAACAAGATCCTCTGAGGCCAGATGTGGTTGCTGGTTGTGATTATTTCTGCTGGAACCTCATTCTGATATGAATCACAGCAGAGTGGAACCCACTAAGGACACAGTCTGTCTCGCACCCTGTACACTGGTTGTGAGTGACCTGCATAACGGTTGGACACATAAGGCTGGTGTCGCTGTGAGACTGTGGTGATACTTAGCAGACTCTCATCTCTCCCACGGCCACCTCCTTGTGTTCTATAAACAACACACAGGTGATGGTGGAAAGGATCGAGGGAGACTCTTTGCTACCTTACAAGTATCCCAGTGTCCCACCAGTGGAAAAACACCAGGGAGCCAGCCAACCACCGCGAAACTGACTTTCATTTCCGCCCCTATGAAACTTCTGAGGCTGTTTACCACCAGCTGGACATCTGGCCCACTTGCTTTTGGAAAAACCTTTTCTCCTGCATTCGCTACTTATGTAAAATATCAATTTTACCAGCCATAATTATGCCTTTTAAAAAAAAATCTAATATTAACTTTTAAACAAAAAAATATTTGCTTTCCTACTTTAGAAAAAAATATATGCCTCATGTTACCTCATTAGGATATAGCTAGTTCCAATGTCAAGAACAATTGATCCTACATTTAGTCATTAAAGCTCTTTCCATTCCTTCCATTGTCCAGGCCCCATCTATTTAAAAGAACAGTTTCTCCTGTCAGGCTGGAGTAGTTGTACTCTACCTTGGCCACAGGTTGGAAATACCTGATAAGCTTTAAAAACTACTCATTAAAGGGTCTTAGCCCTGCAGTTTTGGACTTAATTGGTTGAGGCCTTGTATCAGGATTAAAAAATACCACAAAGACTTCCCAAGATATTTTAATATGCAGCCAATGTTGGGAGACACTGGGCTCAAGACAGTTTGTTCTGCCAAATCTTTTTATATTTTTCATCCTGTTCCCCATATAACCTGGGAAAGGATGGTAGCAATTAGAGATGGCACCCACCACAGGAAGGAGCTGAAATTCGCCTTCTAGGACAGAGGTAAAGAAAACAAGCAAACAAAACACCTGTATTACCACACCTCTGGTTCTTTCTGTTAATATGTCTTTATTGATTTCAGAGAGAGGAAGGAAGAGGGAGAGAGAGAGAAACATCAATGATGAGAGAGTCACTGAAGGGCTGCCTCCTGCACGCCCCCTGCTGGGGATCGAGCCTGCTACCCGGGCATGTGCCCTGACCGGGAATCAAACTACGATCTAGATCCTAGGTCGACGCTCCACTGCTGAGGCACTCTGGCTGGGGGCATATGATTCTTTATGTAGGGTATTAGTGTGCTTTTCACAATTTACAGTTGCTTCAGAGGAGGCCAAGGGCCTCGTTGAGAAGAGGCGTCTGAGATTTCAGAATTGATGGAATGATACATGAAGGGCAGGCACATTTTAAACCTGAAAGCATGACTGAAAGGTCGGATGCTACTGTCTGGGCAAAGATGAGGTGGGCCGGGGGGAGTGGGCAGTGTGTGTAACTGCAGGAGGTGAAGACACTCAGGTTGGAGGGAATTGTGGCAAGCTGTGGTTCCCGTGGAAAGCCAGTGGAGAAGCAAGGGTGTGTTTAGGTGACCTGACAGGTATTGATAATGCGAGTAATCAATGGGCTTTTTCTAAAGTGGTCTAGTCTCCCTATTGGAGA